TGATGAGGGTAGGCGAAATCACTGTTCATTTTCACCTATAGGCGTTGGGAAGACTTTTTCCATATATATATATATATATATATATATATATATACACACACACACATACATGCACACACACACACATATCAAGGTCGAGATGATCAATTGTATGGTTTTTTGACATCAGAACAACCTTCCTGTTGGATTTTTCAGGTGCACCTTACTTCTATATTATAAGGTTGACACCTTATATAAATAGTAACTAACCCAGAAAATTGAATGGGAAAATAGAAAAAATAATTAATAGCTCAATCTATGATGTATGAAATTTATGCTTAACCTATGCTCAACCGAGGAAATTCACGGGAATTATCAAGCTGATCCATAACACTCTTCATCCTGAAAGAAGAAAACAATTAGTTGAAGCAAAAGAAAGAATGATCACAAAGAAGTATGCAAAAAGAATCGAATTCAATAACTGAGAGAGAGAGAGAGAGAGAAAAAAGACACAATGACAAGAGTGTTGATTACAACAATTACTAATGTTGGATCTAGATGGTCCGCCCATTGTGGGTGGGTGGACCTCCATGGAATTGCATCATTTGTTATGGGTGGAGAAAAGATAATCTTTTGGGATAGATGGTTGGCTGAAAACTTATCAATCTAGAGAAAAGTAACTCCATGTGGTTAATTGGGTTAAATTCCAACTAGATTTGGATAACCACATGGGGAGGGAATCAAGGGAGTGGGGTCCTCTATGCAACGGGGTTGCAAAGAGAGAGAGTTGCACATACCTCCAAAAGCCTTTTTTATTTTTCTCCCTCTAAAGGGTGCCCATAGACCCACATCCCCTCGATCCTCTCACTTTCAAGAACCCTAGTTAAAACATCCCTCTTTCAGCGAAACCAAAAACATGCGGGCATCCATCAAGGCTTGGGATTTGCACTATGGACAACCTTTGGAGTTCTAGTAATCAAAAGATGGAAACTTAGAGCGGCAGTGTCGAACTCTCGACATGCAAAAGTTAGCAATTAGCACGGAAAGGGAAATTGTATCCTTCAAAGTGTATATAACCCCATCCAAAAATGGAGATTGGATATTGTGCATGCATATTTTGTTGTTGTTTCCACTGTGTTGGGGCACGCATGGTGTCTAACACTGGTATCAAATCATCTTGATAGAGGTTTCTGCCTCTTAGGTCTGATTGTTGTGTTTTGCTCATCGCATGGTTTGTACCTTTTCCTCCTCAATTAGCTCCTCATGTAATCCTATATGAAAACAGACAGCGCCACGAGTTACATGAAGCAGGCGTAAGGGCAGCATGGGGCACAACCGCATGTGTTGGGTGCGTGTGAAAACCTCTTGGCACGCTAGGCACTCGCTAGACACAAAAAAGTGACTTGAGGGAGTGCGAAATAACTGTTGGCACACTGGGCACTTGCTAGACCCTCATTGGTCTTACACTAAGCGCCATGTAGTACATTTGAGCATCGTTGGATCCTCGTTATGCACAAACTGAGTGTCGTCCATGAACTCTAGATTGTGTGGTCCCTCGTGGTGATCCCGCTGTGGTCCTACGGTCCACTAGAGTGAGGTGGACTGGTGCTAGGTGCATGCACTTGCATTCTAGACTGCAAGGTCCCTTATGGTGAACCTGTTGTGGTCTAGTGGACCCACAAGTGCACAGGATCTGTGTTGGTCTAGCACTCGAGAACAAATCCCATATGCGTGGGTCAAGTACATATGCGAGTGCCTGATGCGCAACCACATCATAACATGTGCAACAGCAGCTACACCCCCACTTGTGTGGCCTCATGTGTGAGGCCGAAGCCACAAAATCTAACCTTTTAGTACGGCCTCACATAGGGTGTAGCCAACATGTACGACCTCGAGGCGGCATGAATGCAACCACACCGGAAAACCTAGGCTGCATTGGTATGGCTTCAACCGACAGCCGTACATATGGGTTGGCATGGTCACTGTTAATTACCATGGCCTCACAGCTATTGAGTGCGGCTCAGAAGGTACATTTTTAGACCCATTTTTCAAATGGGTATAACTTTGCATCCGGGTTGTCAGAATCAGACATATGATATATGTTTTTATGGTAGCTAAGAAGTAGATCGCAACCAGCAAGGTCCCACTTGCTGGCCCCAATGTCAGCCACAAATGCTTTGGAAGCGCATTCACGACACCCTTTATATGACGTATGGACCTGCCATGATCAGCCAATCTGATTTTGGGAGCCGCTCTAGGTAGTGACCGTCATTAAATTGCACCTAATAGTGGGATTTGTATCAGGGATGCAAATACACACTTGATGATGAGGGTTAGGGAGTCGAGCCTCTAAAATCTTACTTGACAATGATTACTAGCAATGACCAATAAGGTTGTGCAAGATTTTTAATTCGAGACCATTTGATTATGTTTATCCTTAAAGACAGAAGAGAGTACAAGATTAGCTAATATTTTATGTGATTGGATAATCATGTATAAACAAACTAAATCATCCAATGTAACGATGTTAAAGAATGTAATCGTGACATTCGAGGGGAGAATTTTGACGGGAAGAATTATGACATGTGGCATTCTAAAATTGGTACATGTGGGATAAGCAGGGTGTACTCGAACACCTAACCATTAGCATGATTCTCACTGAGGAAGGGAACACAACCCAGGGGCATTGTGAATGGAATGTTATCAAGAATGGTTCAAAACAGATTATTGCGCACACTTCACTATGTTGAGCAGCACGCGAAAGGATTGATTGGGCACTTTGGAGATTTATTCAACATCCTGGGAGGTGGCATGGGTTGGAGCTCCAAATTGCTAGCACCTTAACCACCAGGTTGTGCGCACTCACACTGGCATTTGAGATGTCTAAAATGCCATCAAATGTCTCCATGACGAAGCAATTGAGAAAAACGTCACAAATTATGTGACATACATGCAGCACACAACATGCAAAGTGATGCACAACAGATTTTGGTTATGCTCAGATCACTTCCTCAGTCCTGGGAGAAAATGGAGATAATTATGATGCATGGTGAAGATTTTAAGACATTGTCTCATCCATCTGATCATCTAGAGTTGGAGGTGAGTGCCGCTCTGCTAGTGATAGAGAGCTCACCATGTTTACCAAGTCAGGCAAACCCAAGGGCACGGCTAAGGTCAACAAACCTCTCAAGAAAGAGGAAATGAAGAGTGCTAAGGACAAGAATGTCAAGCAAAGGGAGAGCAAGTGCAATACTCCAATAGACAAGTCCATAGTTACCCAAATCTCTCACCGAAGGTCGCGATTCTGATTCAGAACCCCAATTCGGTGATTCTGACTAGGAATCTTCATGGAACCCGTTTCTGTGAAGTCTAGAATTTTGATTCCTTATTTTAGGAACCTCGAGTCCAACACTAATAGAAACTCGTTGCCAATACTTCATGATTCACGATTCCACAATTGGTGAAACTCGATTCAGCACTTTTTGAAATAGCTTTCCATATTTACCGGCATCGAAGATCAACATAAACAACACAGACTTCTTAATTGTTAATCAGTTCTTTCCTTTGATACTTACAGAGATAGCAGTAGTGAGTACTACAAAAACTTAAATGAATTGATTGTCAGGTACAAAACAAAAAGCTTGTAAAATGCAGTGTGTCCACAAGAAGAGGCCAATAGGTTCTTACCCATTATGATACCCATGCCCTCCTTTAGCTTGAAGCCTCAAAACACCATTTGGTAAACTCATCTCATCATAAATCTGGAGGACATTCCAAAAAGAGTATCATCAAATGTAAGAAGAAATAAATATGAAATTAACCATGAACATGGATAACATACTAGTAAGATATGTCGCAGAGGTACTTGATAGTAGACAGCAAGAGGTCCTACCTATAACAATCAAATTATATGACGAGGTGATAAAGTGTTAGTTGCAATCCAAAAATGCCAATTTGTAAATCACAGTGATCTCATCAATAATAAAGATTAACTAATAAATATATGATTAGCATCACATCTCAAAGTAGAGATTCGGATTCCAACTTAATGATAATAATAACTAAAAAGACAAAAACATGTACAACCCAATTGCGTAAGCATCAGAAGCAAGAAAAGATGCCTTTGCATTTAGTGTGTGCCCAAGAAAATTGAAATGAGATTGAACCATTTATGTTGGGCTACTTCCAGTGTAAAAAACAATACTCTAGAAGAAATTATGGGGCCTAGATGGTAAGATGTTGGCTATAGTTGTTAGATAGGCCCGTGATTCCAAATCTTTTCAAGAATCAGAATTACGGAATCACAGGTATCAAAAGATACCTACAGTTGGAATCGTCGTCTATACAATACAAATCACATGTTGCCTGATTCCCACTATATTGGAATCATGATCCAATAAAATAGGAATCGTGTGTCCTATCTTGTTGGAATTGAAATCCCATCAACTTGGAATAGAGTTTCTTGGCTTTTTGGAATAGCACATCAGTCAACTCCGATCAATGTCATCCAGAAGCGCAATCCAATAAAATAGGAATCATGACTTCTTTATTGTTGGCACCGCTGTCCCATCAATTTGGAATCGAGGTTCCTACCTTTTTAGGAATCATGCACCAATCCGCTCGTGATTGTTTGGATTGGGTGGCCATTTAAAGGCCTTACGAGAGCATATAATGAAATTTTAAAATAGTGGAATGACAACTCCAATGGGAGTATGGTCCAGAGGGACCGAAATTGACAATATTGATACCAAAACTCAAACTAGGCTTGAAGAGCTAGGCTGAGTTGAGTTCTAAGACCCTATGAGACTTGGGCATATAGCACAACTGAGATGAGTTTGCAGGGTTAGCCTTTGATGTCGGGGAGATGCCCAAGGTAGTTGGCCAAGGGACTTAGTGACCCTTGTGTATGATTGGTACCTCATCATGACCATCACATGGCATGTATATATGATAGTTGTATTCGGAAGAATACACCATTGAAGGTGTTACAAGTAGATGTGCGAGAGATAACCCCCATGCACCAATTGGGATGAGGGTGCAAAATTTTGTGTGACCTAGGCTTGTCCCTAGGAGTCCATAGACTACGATTATGTTCTCATCACCTATTGGTTGGCTTTAGTAGTCCAATCATGAACTCCTGTGATAGATTGTGGGTCATGAGAACTACTAGGATAGTTTGAAAATGTAAGTTTGGGACATAATTACCGATAGAGATGGAGTGCCTCAGTATTTTTGCATTTTCCTTAACGAAGTTACATCCGATTCCCATCAAATTAATTTAAAATAATAAAATTTTGTTTTAAATGATTTTTAGAATATTAAAAAAATAAAAGTCTCTGAATATTTTATTTTATCAAAATTAATTTTAAATTAGCTAAAACTGAATTTTCAGGTATTTAAATATAGATAAAAAATACTTAGGTATTTCTAAAAATCAATTTATTTCTTGAAAGTTATTTTATATTGTGGGGGCCCAAAATTCATTAGGGCCCACCACATTAGACCCATTTTGGATGGGAGTGTGGGGCCCACTATGTCTCCATAAGTGGGATGCCCCATATTTTCTTCCTCTTTATTTTATGTGGCTTGTGGAATAACCCATACAATTGATTTGGAAATGAAATGGAAAGTTTTATGAAAGAGATTAATTGATTTTAAAAGGGGAATGTATAGAAATTGATTGAAATTAAAAGGTAATATATGGAATATTTTCTCTACACAAAATATTTGATGGAATTAAGTTAAGAAAGCTGAAGAATAAGGTTCTAACACCTTCCATTAGATTATGATGGCTGATCTATGCATTGTAGGGCTAAGATCTCTCACCCCACAGGCTACCTATGATCAACGGTGTAGATCGAATCTTCATAAGGATGGCTACACCATAACCCTAGCCTCACCTTTATAAATACATCTCATTGGAGGGTCACTTAGGCACATCATATCTTAGAGTTCTCTCTCTCTCTCCCTCATAGGTGGTATGTCATCCCCTTCTCTCTACTCCTCTGTCTCTCTCTCTCTCTCTCTCATACTCTCAAAGTTAAAAAGGATAGAGAGACACGCCCCTAGGTAATCAAACAAAGAAAGGGGGCATGCCCCACATAGTTGGAGAAGTAAGAGAGAACCCATCTTCCAAGTACCTACTCTGAAGTTCTAAGTAGAGGGTTTAGTCAAGCTTCCCATTATTGTGGATTCTTAAAAGTCCAAGATCCCATGCGACATTGGTGAAGGAGACATGGTGTGGGGTGTACAAAGTCTATTAGAGGTAATCTTTTGGCACACTATCTTGTTTTATGCTTTCTTGCGTTTCTTGTTCCCAATTTCAATTGATGTAATTTTTGTTATGTAATAAAAAAGTTTTTGAAAGCTGGCAGCAAGTGAGAATCCAAAATTTTGTTTTCACTCATTTATTTGAGTTTTGATTAATTCTTGGACATACGTAAGTGTTCTAGCCGGTATCATGAAAGAAAAATTTTAAACTATATAGATCATGCTCGTTCACATCGTCCACTTTCATTGGTATCAGAGCAAGGGCATCTTGTTTCCACTATTTTAATTTTCTTTGTTATTGATGAACCTTTGGGACAAGAACACATAACATAAATAAGTTTTATTGCAAAAATGTTAAAGATCAAGAGATTCGATGGAACAAATTATGCCTCATGAAAGAGAAAAATTGACTGTGTGCTCTATAAGGAAGGTTTGTGTGATATCCTCACCGAGGCTCCACCATCTCAACCTAGAGGGAATGCACCCAATAGCCATATGGTTTTGAGGTAGAAACACTAATTCCTTGACATGATTTTGGGTTATGAATTTGTATTTTTTATTTATGGCTTCTACCTAATGGTTCTTTTCCGAATAGGTAATAGCTTCTTGGTATGCGGTAGGTTCATGATCAGGCTCATCCCCAACTCTTTCATAGCATTCTCCTAGGTAGGTAAAGAACTTGGGTCGTCTTCTAATACGTTACTTCTCCTGAGGGGTTGTGGTTCGGGTTCTCGAGATAACCTTGTCATTGGCCATCTCATAGAGATTGGCCTGCTTGTGACCAGTTTTTGCTTCAAGGAACTTGTCCTCAAAGAAGTGGGCGTCCTTACTTTCTATTACTGCCCCATTCTCAAGGCTGTAGAATTGATACCCCATACCTTGGTCTAGATTGCCAATGAAGATGCACTTAACAGTCTTGGGGTCAAGTTTAGTCCTATTTTGCTATGGGATAAGGATATGGGAAGAACAACCTCACACTCTTAAATGCTCAAGGGACGGAGGACGACTAATGAATATTTCATGAGGAGTAAGAGGGGCAGTCTTAGTGGGTGCACGGTTGAGAATACATCCCACTGCTATACTGCCTCTCCCCAAAAGTCAAGGGAAAGCTTTGCATGCCCTATCATACTTCTCACCATTTCTACCAAGGTCCTATTCTGTCTCTCAACTACTATGTTTTGTTCCGGTGTATAAGGCATGGTTTATTGATGAATAATTTCATGCTCTACACAGAAGTCTCTAAAGGGATGTGAGGAGTATTCTCCACCCCCATCGGTTCTTCAGACTTTTATCTTTTGGTTGGCTTGTTTCTCTACATCGGTTTTGTACTCTTTAAATAAATCTAGGGCTTCAGATTTTGAGTGTAATAGGTAAATATGCCATATCATGAGTGGCCATTAAGGAATGTGATAAACTATCTTTTGTGGCTCTCTTGGTTGCCACATTCATGGGTCCGCATATATCGCTATTGATGAATTTCTAAAACATTAGAAGCTCTTTGTGCCGAGGTGGAAGTTTTCCTTATCATTTTTCCTTGTAAGCATGATTCACACACTTTGGATAAATCCCATTTGTAATTTTCCAAAAGCCCATCTTTTCTTAACCTTTCTATTCTTTTGTAACTTATGTGCCCTAATGGCACGTGCCATAAATAAGCATCATTCTTATGAGAGGGAGACGAGACATAAGCAACTTCTTCTTTCATTTCAAAAATAAAAAGGCCGTCTTTGAGAAGACCGGCCATAACAGTTTCACCAAAGTTCTTGATTGTCACCTTATGAATACTCGGCCTTAGCCAACTTAGAGACCGAAACCAAACACTTCCTCATATCAGGAGCATAAAGTGTTTGCTTTAGGACCATAGTCTTTCCATTCTTCATTTCTAGCACATAATTCCCAATACACAGAACTTCGATCTTTTGGTTTCCTCCCATGAAGATGTGTTTGCTCACCCAGCCCCATAGGTTTAAAGTTTCGTTATCCATTGTTGGTGTTTGACACATGGGCAGTAGCCCCCGAGTCAAAACACCAAGATGTTTCCATGGGGTTGGCTAGCATACTCCTAAAAAAAAACACAAGCATATTCCCTATTTCTGGCATTGTTTTTATTGAACCCACAATTCTTTCTTGCACACAAAACATTGCCTCTTCTCTTTTTTACCCTTATTATTTTCTTGCTCTCTCTCTCCCCTTTTTATTTCTTCATTTGTGCTCTTATTATTGAATTTCCCTCTCCCTTTGTTTGGTTTGAAGTAGGGTTTAGAGTTTACCATGTGCACCACATCTTTTGGTGCGGCTGCATTATGTGCATTCTTTCTCTCCTCCTCGGCCTTTAGCAAAGTCACTAGCTCCTCTAGCCTAGGAGCAGTCTCTCTAGCAGCAAGAGAAGCCACAAATACGTCCCAAGAGACGAGGAGAGTATTTAAAAGGTGTAGCACTTGCATGGGTTCATTGGGCCGCATGTGGATTGCCTCCAACTCACGAACCAAGGCTCTAAAAGCATGCACGTTATCGGCTATCTTTCCTCTTTCGGGCAACTTCAAGTCATTGTACTTCTTCATTGCAAGAGTCTTTTTCACAAGTGATGGATCAGCAAATTCTTTCTCGAGCCGTTCATGTATCCCTTTTGTGTTCTGGATGCTCTCGCACTCCCATGTGTACGAGTCGTGCATAGCCACGAGTACGATATGCCTAGCAAGCATATTTTTGCATTCCCATTTGGCATATGCATCCCTCGTACCTTGAGATGCATTTTCTCTTGGTGGAGCCTTGATGAGGATATTATGCAAACCTTCCTCATAGAGCACATAGCCGATTTTGAGCTTCTATGAAGCACATAGTTGTTCCATTGAATCTCTCCATCTTTGAAATTTCAGCAATGAAACTAGTTATAGTATGCTTTCTTGTCCCAAAGATATAAAAATAACAAAGAAAATAAAATAGTAGCAACAAAAACTCCTTGCTCTGATACCAATGAAAGAGGACGAAGTGAACTAGCATGGTCTATATAGTTTAAAATTTTCTTGTGATACCAACTAGAACACTTACATAGGTCCAAATATTACAATTAAAACTCAAATAAAGTAAAATGAATACACAAAATAGATTCTCACTTGCTACCACTTTCACAACTATTCATTACATAATCAAATTACATCAAATGAGATTTAGGAACCAGAAAAAAGAAGCAGGTAAAGGTGCCAAAAGACTACCTCTAATGGACTTTGCACACCCCACATCAGGTCTCCTCCTCTGATTACGAACGGGATCTAAGTCTTTCTTGAATCTCAACAAATGGGAAGTACTGCCAAAACCATTACTCAATTTCAGAGAGCATGGACAAAAAAACTAGTATTTTCTTCTACTCAATCTATGTGGGGCACGCCCCCCTTTCTATGTTCTAAATCCTAGGGGCGTGCCACCCCTTTTTTCCTTCTTCGTTCTATGAGAGAGAGAGAAGAGTTGAGGGTGGCCTGCCACCTTGAGAGGAGAGCGAGAGAGAGAGGGAAAGCTCAAGTCTAGAGTGTAATTTGAAGACCCCCTATGAGATGTTTATATAGAAGTGAAGCTAGGGGTAGGGTTTAGCATCCTTATGAGATTTCATCTAGACTATTCATCAAAAGCGAACAGAGGGGTGAGAAATATTAGCCATACAATCTATAGATCAACCATCATGATCTAATAGAAGGTGCTAGAACCTTATCCTTAAGCTTCCTTAACCTAATTCCATCAAATATTATGTGTAGAGAAAAGATATCAAGTCTTTCCTTTGATCTTCAATCAATCTCTACTCATGTCCTTTTTCAAATCAACTAGCCCTTTTTCACAAAACCTTCTTTTTTTTCTTACAATTCAATTTCCTTGACTTATGGCACAATCCACAAAATTAGAAGGTGAGAAAAGTGAGGCGTCCCACCCATTGTGGTATAGCGAGCCCACACCCCTATCAAGTTGGGCCAAATATGGTGGCCCTTATGTATTATGGACCCCCATAACAATTAAGTTATTTTGAAACTTATAAAATGATTTTTAAAAAAATATTAGTATTTTTATTTTCTCTCTGAAAAGTTAAATACCTGAAAATGCAGTTTAAGCTTATTTAAAAATTAATTTTGATGAAATAAAATATCTAGAGACTTCTAAAACTTTATTTTCATATTCTAAAAATCATTTAAAATTTATTATCTCTAAATTAATTTGATGGGAATCGGATCCAACTTCGTTAAAAAAATGCAAAAATATTAAGGTACTCCATCGTTTCTAATGACTATGTCCCACTCACTTTCTCAAATTGACCCAGTAGTTCTCATGACCCACAATCCATCACAAGGGTTCATAATTGGACTACCAAATCCAGCCAATAGGTGATGAGAACACAATCCTAGTCTATGGACTATAAGTTCCCTCAATGGACAAGCTTTGATCACACAGACTTGTGCACACTCATTGCAATTGGTGCATGGGAGCTATCTCTTAGCACATGTACATGTAACACCCTCAATGGTGTACACTTTCTAATACGGTTATCATATGTACATGCCGTGTGATGAGGATATTCGCTCTTGTCCCTTTAGGCCCATCAATCACACGCAGAGCTCACAAAGTCCCTTGGCCAACTACCCTGGGCATCGGTCTGGCCTCATCAAGGGTTAACCTATCCTTCTTGGTTGCGCTATATGCCTAGGAATCATCGGGTTTTAGAACTCAACTTGGTCTAGCTCGTCAAGCTTAGTTTGAGTCATGACATCAACATTGCCAATTTCAGCCACTCTGGACCATACTCCGGCTAGAGTTCATTATTCCACTATCATGAAATTCATTATATGCCCTCATAAGGCCATTAAATGGCCACAAAACCCAACAATTAGGGTCCACCACATTAGGCCCATTGTGTATGGAGGTGTGGGGCCCACTATGTCTACATAATTGAGATGCCCCACATTTTATTCCTTTCTATTTTATGTGGCTTGTGCAATAAGCCATGTAATTGATTTGGAAACGAAATGGGAAGTTTTATGAAAGAAGTTAATTGATTTCAAAAGGAGAATGTGTAGAGATTGATTAAATTAAAAGGAAGTACATAGAATATTTCCTTTACACGATCTTTGATGGGATTAGGTTAAGAAAGCTGAGAAGTAATGTTCTATCACCTTCCATTAGATCATGATGGCTGATCTATGGATTGTAGGGTTAAGATCTCTCACCCCACAATTCACCTATGATCAACGGTCTAGATCGAATCTCCATAAGGGTGGCTACACCCTAAAACCCTAACCCTAACCTCACCTCTATAAATACATGTCAATGGGGGGTCACTTGGACACATCAAATCCTATAACTCTTTCTCTCTCCTTATAGGTGGTACGTCACCCCCCTCTCTCTACTCCTCTCTCTCTCTTATACTCTCAAAATTAGAAAGGATAGAGAGGAACGCCCCAAGGTAATCAAACAAAGAAGGGGGGCCACGCCCCGTGTAGTTGGAGAAGTAAGAGAGGCCTCATCTTCCAAGTGCATGCCCTTACGTTCTAAGTAGCGAGTTTAGCCAAGCTTCTCATTATTGTGAGATTCTTAAAAGACCAAGATCTTGTGCGCCATTGGTGGAGGAGACCCGGTGTGTGATGTACAAAGTCTATTAGAGGTAATCTTTTGGCACACTATCTTGTTTTATACTTCCTTGTATTTCTTATTCCCAATTTTAATTGATGTAATTTTGGTTATGTAATAAAGAAGTTTCTGAAAGGTGTCATTCATTTATTTGACTTTTGCTAGTAATTCATAAACATTTGTAAATGTTTTAGCCCATATCGCGAAAGAAAAATTTTAAACTATACAGACCGTGTTAACTCACATCGTCCACTGTCGGAAGTTTTATGCAAGAAAAGAATTAAAGTTTTATATTATTTATAACCTTGAATTCTGGACTCCATATATTGAGTACGATTATCCAGGGCCCTCATATTATTCGGATCAATGTCTTTGATTCCGTGTTATTAGAACTTCAACTCCATGTCGATTGAAACATAGTTAAGTGCATCTATGAACCCTAGGGTTTGACATTGTGGATCTGGCTTCCAAAAAAACATTGATTTCATTGTCCCTAAAAATTGGGATCAAGGTCTCATATACATTGAATCCTAGTCTTGTCCACTTATGAATTGCAAATTTTGTGAGATTGTATCTAGATTCCCACTTCCAGGAATTGGGATTCAAAAAAATATTTGCAACGCAATTTTAGAAATTTGGAATCGTGATTCTTTTCTTTTGACAATTGTCATTCATCTTGGGAAACACGGAATCGCAATTCCGAACCAAACAACGACCTCAGTACACGATTTGGTAACTATAATTTTGGCACAACAGTTCATGGTGACATAATGCACGGACATCCTGAGCTGCGCTTAGATGCATGTGCTACAATAACAGTCTATGGTAGAAAAAATGCACGCTCAACCAAATTGAGCCTTTCACTTTGCTTTGTTTCATTTTGTTTTACACACTGAAGCATGTGGTTGAGAGCATCATTTTGAATGCCTTCTTAAAATACAAGACATTCAAAATGCTGAACGTTTGTGTGTGGTAAAACGAGAAAAGACTGGTTTTCATCCCATTGGCAAGGGTTACATTTTATTTCATATGTCCACCACTAACACCACATGATAAAAATGCATATTGGTTTCCAAACCGGCCTATGGTCCTTACCAAAAGAAACATTATGGGAGCATATATCATCTTGAAGTTTCCTAAAATCAGGGGCAGTCATGTAACTTTATAAAGCATATATCATCTTGAAGTTTCCTAAATCAGTGGCAGTCATGTAACTTTATAAAACGGGTTTTGTTTTCTATTTCTTTTTTTGCAAAGAACAGGTGTACATAGTTTCCATCTATGAGCTAATGCTGTAAAATGCATCACAAATGATGCGCACCAATAGGACTTCCACAGCAATAACAAGTCATATGCAACCAAAACATAAAGAAAACCAATATTTCAATCAGTAAAAGGCGGAAAACCCATGTTTCCAAAGCAAGGAAAAGGTACATACTGATTCTCCACTGAAATTCATATAGGTTTGAGGCTTTGCCAACAACACAGGTACCTCTCCGATTGAACCTGCACCAATTGGCATGATATCGAAGTAACAACTAAAACATTAATCAAATAAATAGCAAATGGGTAATATAGGGGAAAATAAATGTTGGTAGTGTTAATAATATCTCAAACTCTTAAGAGTACGACGGTTAATGTTCACCTATAAGAATCCCTGACAGTATCTAAACTTTAGAATGCCTATGCAAAGAGAACATCAGGATCATAGAATAAAATTTGCTACAAAATACAAGCATTTATCATGCTGATATTGTTATGAACAAAACTCTTAAGGAGTACCTATTCCTATTAAAGCCTTTGACTGTATTGTATTCAAGGAAATGCCTTCTTGTTGAGCAATACAATCAATCATTTCAAAGCCAACCTGGTTTGAAAGATCATTGCAAATGCATCAATGGAGGATCAAACAACCCGGTGTGTAAAATGGGTTAAAATAAAATAAAAAAACAAAAGGGAACCATAGTTCATTAAACCATCATAAAGCAGTTCAAAATGTGTAGTCAAAGGAAGTACATACATTGTGCCTGGTCCCATGATACTTGTTCCCTGGGTTTCCTAACCCAACAAATAACCACGGAGTATATTCCAATTTAACTTCTTCAGCATGAGTTAAGGAAACAGATATACGTGTATTGGATCTCAGGCGCCTCTGAGTAAATTTATGATAAGAAATGCACGCCCCTGGAATAGAAATGGCATGTGCCATCATGTACAGAACCTGCAACATAAAGGTTCATTTATAAATAGAATTCACACAGTGGGCAAATTGTGTTACAATTTCATATCGGAAGTTAATCTTTTACTGTTCATTCTAGGCAAATGAAGCAAGATGCAACCACAAAACATTCAAAGCATGCCCTGTCAATATCACATTTGGTCAACTACAATATTCTTTTCAAGCCCCGGGCAAATGACTACTACCATTATGTCTTCTTTCTTAGTCAGGCTTGTGTTAGATCTAAGGTTGTAACAAGTAAATGATCAGTAATAATAAAAAGGGAAGCTAACTTGTATTACATTCTCAAAAACATTTGGTTAACAGCATTACATTCTTAAAATCATTTAGCTTTTCTTTTCTCTTCTTTTCTTTTTTTTCCTTTTTTTTTGATAGATAGCATTTTTTTTATTGCTATGAAAATAAGAAACATACAAGAGTGTCAAGAAATTGAGGATAAGAATACAACAATCCCACAAAAATGTCAAAAAACGGCAATAATACAAAAACCTCAATTTGCAAGTATATGGCTTATCAATGAAACGGCTTGCTGGGCTGTATTTTCTAAAAAATGTGGTCTGAGGTTTCCTGATTTGAGGGTCGGATGGCTTCAAAGTGTCCTCGTTTGCTCCTTCTCTGCTAGGGTATCTGCCTAGCTGTTAGCTTCGCACCAAATGTATCACTCAAATATTTGGAAGGCAAGGAAAAAATCTCCAAAAACACCTGACCAAACCTCAATGCCATGTAGCCTCCTCGCTGGCACATGCAACAATGTTGGCAGAAACTCCAACTATCAGAGAATCGCCACATTTGTGATTGAAGCTTTATAAACTAGCCAACAAGGCAAAGTTTCTGCATGGGTCGCATCTCAAACTCCAAGTGTTCGGAAAAGCAGTACCTGGCCAAGTTGACTTAGAAATAAGCCACCTGCTCCTGCTGATCCCGAGATACACGGAAGCTACCATCAAAATTTAGCTTCACAACATCCCCTTCCGGTGAGTCCCAAATACTTGATGTCCTTTTAATTGTTGTATAACTCAGAGCTGGAAAGTCCTCAGAATTCTTAGCAGGCACATGCATGTCCACAAATTGTCTATATATTTATGGTGATACTTAACTGTTAACATTGTTTATATGGATTAAAAATGTTAACAGTGTCTATGGCCAGTCCATAATAGAGTTAACAATGTATATGCGTTGGGTTAGTGGTACTTGCTACTTTCACCCCATTCTTTCGGTCTTCTATTCTGAATGGATGATTTTTGAATTGGTGGATTTCAAGAATGTTTTATGTGTTCTCTTTCATGTATGGATTCGGAACCTGCACCTTCTACGAAAGAGACTGAGAATAGTAAAAAAAAAAAACTATTTCTGGACTCCAAATCAAGATGACTTTTTTCTTGATCTCATGATCATAGATGTCAAGACAAGACAAAAAGTGGGAGAGTCTTTCAACCCAATAGCTTGGAGAAATAAAGAAAGGGAAATGAAGGCAAAGAATGAGATGAACTTGATAAGGGTAGGCTACGGAATAGGTCGAGGACTCTAACGACCGACTTTTACAATGTAAGACAACTGTGTTGCGCTACTGGCTTTGGGTGGAATGATGCTTAGCAAATAGTGATGGCTTAAGAGGATGTCTAGAACAACTACTGTGTGGTGAGTCTCACACTTTTCCCCAATAGGTGTTCCATGGGTCTGTATTTCTATCATCTCTTTTACTGTTTATACCTGTAAATGTGTAAAATCACAAGTGGGCAAGAAAACTAAGAAAAGGCCCTATATGGAGATATGACAATATGAAGATTTGTTTTGAAGAATCGGCTGCAGATGGGTCATGCAATCGCTCTGCTCAAGATACTCCGGCTGAGGAACTCACAATTGGGAGATGTGAACCCCCATGAAGTGACAGGTGGATTGGCAGGTGCTATCAACACCTTGACTTTCTCTCTCTATAAATTATCTTCTCAATCGACAGGTGCTATTAACAGTAACTGATGTTGATTGCTAGTTAATATCAGCAACAACATTATGTGATGGAACAGTCATATATGGATCACTATGCTTTCCCATTTGCTTTTACCATTTCTATTTCAATCATTTTGTTAGGAAGAATACATATAAAATTTAGTTATCAACATTTTTAGAATTTCACAACTTAAGGCATATATTGTACAACCTGACCAGTCCTCCCTCAAAGAGCACCACTATCTCCCCTTAACCATACTAAACGTTCAGCCGCACCCAATCTTTTTTTTGAGAACTGTTAATATTGTATTTCTATAGAAGTTTAGAAAAGGTATGACTGAAAGCACACCCTCCCTGGGTGGCTAACAGTAAAAATACATTAGTCTTCCATTATCAGTATAGGCTTCTAAGAAGCGCCCATGTTACAAGATTTACAATGAGATTTACAAACAATCTGAGCTGTGCCTTGCTCGATGTGAGAGGTGTTATTCTGTATGGCTGAGGTCCTGAACAAAAAAGAAGTTGGACCTAGTCTAGGAGTCAGTACGGCCGAGGTCCTGAACAAAAAAGGAGTTGGACCTAGCCTGGGAGTCCGAATGCAAACTAGCCCCTTCCTTCGCTAGTAGATCTGCTAGATTGTTAGACATCCTCCAGGTATGCTGCCATATGACGTTGGTAACCCTGCATAAATGGGAAATTTCATCAAAGATTGAGGACAATGGCCATGGAGGGGGGGACAAGCCTCTTGCCCAAGATATGGTGTTAGAAGAGTCTCCTTCCACTATCAGTGTAGAACCCCAGGAGGAATTAAAATTCTCAATCCCAATAATAGAGCCATGCATATTGGGAGTCAAAAGTCCCTAGATGCGCCGAAAGAGTAAAGAGGACATTGCCCTAGCTGTCTCTGAAAACACCCCTTGCGCCTGAGGGACCAGGGTTGCCTAAGGAGCAGCCATCAAAGTTCAGCTAGATGCTGCCCTCTGGTGGGGTCACCAACTGCTAATTCTTGGGGCCTTAGGAGGTCTATGTTTAAGTATGTTTTGCCATTGAGGGAAGAAAGTGTTCCTAGGGATGCCTGAAAAGGATTTGTGTTTGAGAAGCCCAGAAGGTGGTTAATGAGACTATCTTGTGGAAGAGGGCTGGCTGTTGTAGCTGAGCACCATTGAAAATCCTATTGTTCCTTTCCAGCCAGAGAGACCATATTGTAGCAACCACCGTGGCCTTCCATAATATTTCCCAGCCAAGGGCCACTGAGAAGCGAAGTTGTGGGTGATGAGTGCTTTGACCATGGGTGGGGGAACCCATTGGATGTCGAAGAGCTGGAGTACAAGTGACCAGAGTTTACTGGAAAAGTCACAAAGAATGAACTGGTGGGGGTTAGATTCCTCCTCACAGAGACATAGGGCACATCTGTTTGGTAAGGAGAGACCTCTTCTTTGTAATTGGTAGACTGTGAGGGCTCTATGAGAGCAGGCAATCCAACTAAAGAACTGGATCTTTGGTGGGGCAATGGTGGACCACACTTTTGACAAGATAGAAGTGGGGTTGAGGGGGAAGGTTAGGGGTTGAATGAGGGCTTTGTAGAAAGAGGCTACTGAAATAGGCCAGAAAGGGATAGGCTCCATACCAAAGAATCACTGCCGAAGGAGAGGAGGAAGTGGGAGGATAGGGTACCCAGTAGTTGTAGAAACTGAGTGCACTCGTCCTCTGAGAGGTGTCTACGAAATGAAGGACTCCAGGTTCTTCTGCCACCCAAAAGAGGCAATTCCTCAGCGATAGAGGAGTTACAGTCAGTGGAGAGGGAGAAGAGAGTAGGGAAGGCCTTGCACAATGGTGAAGTACCACGCCAGAGGTCCGTCAAGAATTGAACTCTGGTGCCAACTCTAGCGTGGAATCTAATGTTCTTTCTTAACTGTGGTAGGGAAGAAGCTAAAGACAGCCACACTCCAGACGCCCTCTATTTTTGAATGCTCTCTGGTACCCAAATATCATCCCGAATCTTGTATTTTTTGCGCAATATTTGAGCCCAGAGAGCATTCGGTTGCGTGGCCAGGCGCCCCCACCAGCCCCACCCGATCTTGCAATGCACAAAGATAGAAATTCACACAATCCTGGGCTAAATAGCACATCAAATCAATGAAATATAATGGAAAAGAAATTTTAATTTTCTATTTACTAACAACAACATAGGGAACCATAGACCAATAGGCTCTAAATAGATTCACTCTTGCTTATAAGTTTTATCAATCTATGGCTTTCCTTTAAAGAACAAGGTAAGAAATCAGCTACCAAAATTAAAATCACAATAAAGAGAAAATAA